ATTCATAACTTTGGTACATCCCATTCCCTGCTTCATATGGTAATTAGTTCAAAAGCTATTAAGCATGCACAGTTTGTTCATCGAAATGGGTTGGTGGGGGTCCCAAAGTGAGGAAGTAAATGAAGTCTTCCTCGTTCTGACCTTTCTACCTTTTCAATGTAAATATGACAAATGAACCCTTGGTAGGACTCCCACTCTCCATTTTCAATTGGTTTCAGAACAGAGGAGGCCTACAGTTGTCTTATGCTCCTAAAAGCTATTTATCAGTTTCTATATTCTTCATTATAAACCCAGCTAACCAAACATTGTGCTGACAAGCAATCAATTATTAGTTAAGTACTAACTCTTAACTTCATCAAGGCCTACCCATTTATTTTAATTAACTCCAACAAAGCTTATCTCTAACCAAAATCTTAGCTCCTCTAAAATCTCTAAATTCCTTGGAGTTTATGTCTCGGTTTAGCTGCAGGAAAGCTCGGGAGGGATGGATGGAGGGATGGATGGGAGGGATGGATGGAAAGCCGGCCCTGGTGGCTGCTGCGAGGCTCAGTGTGCACTAGGTGGCACGCAGCAGCAGGGAGAGGCTGGGATGAGGGAACGGGGAGGAAATCTCCGCTGGGAAAAGCAGGCAGGAGGCAGAACGGGATGAGTTCTGCCCCTAATTAGCCTTAATGGCGAGGTGAGTGTGGCCAGAGCAGGCGAGACAGGAACACAACCCAGAGGACTCGGCTCCAGAGTTTCCCAGCTGGATTTAGCAAAGGCAGGGATGGAGAGAGCATTTTGATAGGGGTCAGGATAATGGGAGAAGGGGCTGGGGTTACAAATGAGAATGGTAAATTTAGGATTGGCATAAGGAAAGAATGTTTTGTGATGAGTGTGGTGAGGCCCTAGCACAGGTTGCCCAGGGAAGATAAGGATGCTGGAAGTGTTCAAGGTCAGGTTGGGTGGGGCTTGGAGCAGCCTGGGATGGTGGAAGATGTCCCTGCCCCTAGCAACAACCTGGGCTGGTCCCTTCCAACATAAACTGTTCAAGATTCTGTGATTTCCCCAGAGAAGGCAGGCAGTGGAACACAGAGAGCTGAGCTGAGCTCATGGGACATCTCCCAGTACCAGCAGGGATGAGGAACCCGTCCCTCTGAGCAGGTAAACCCCAGGGCTTGGACAGCAAGGTCACCTGTCACAGACATCTTTTCATGAAAAATCCTTAGGATTTTTCCTCCTGAGAAGCTGAGAAACCTCAGGAACAAAATGTAAACATTGATTATCTGCTGCTGTGGAATGCAACAGGTGCATATGTGATTGGTCTCATGTGGTTGTTTCTAATTAATGGCCAATCACAGTCAGCTGGCTCAGACTCTCTGTCCAGGACAGAAGCTTTTGTTATCATTCCTTTCTATTCTTAGCCAGCCTTCTGATGAAACCTTTTCTTCTATTCTTTTAGTATAGTTTTAATGTAATATATATCATAAAATAATAAATCAAGCCTTCTGAAACATGGAGTCAGATGCTCATCTCCTCCCTCATCCAGGAACCCCTGTGAACACTGTCACAATCCCCCAGCAGCTGGAGGAGGATCTGGCCCACACCAGATCCATCCCTGCTGTGTCTCACTGGCCCCTGGCAGGAACCAGCAGCAGCTGCTGCAGAGGAAAATGAAACGAAATTTCACCTATTATCCTTTGCCTGCAGAGGAATTTCTCCCTAATTCCTGTCACTTTGGGTTTGTCTGCTCAGGGAAATTAATGTGAAATCGAGTGGGCTGTGAACTGGAAGTGCTGCAGCAATCCCAGCAGAGCTTGGACAGGCAGTTTCCTAAGTGGCCTGGCCATTCCCTGGAGCACCAGGCTAAGCCTGGCAATTTAACAGAGCCTCGAGCACCGGGGTTTGTAGACGTTAATGCAGGACCTCGAGCCAAAACCCTGTGAGAAGGAGCAGCCACGGAGAAATTAATTCAGCAGCCTTCCAGCAGCACTGCAAGGAAAGGAGCAGGGGGAAGGCAAATATTTGGCTGGTTACCCCAGTGTGTGGATGGATCAGACAGGAGGTGATGGCTCGATGGAGGACTCAGCGCTTTGCATGCTGATTTGGGGAGCATGCAGGGAAGGGTGTGGGGAAGAACAGCACGGGGAGAAAGGGGTCCAGCTGAAAAAAAAAAAAAACCAACAAAAATAACTCCCAAAAAATCACCCCAAAACATGAGGGACTATGTTAAAACCTGGGGATCATTAAGGTAAAAATCATGTAAAATATAAAATATTTTTGCAGGCAGTGAGGATTTTGAGGTCTGCATCCCTGTTTTCACAGGGTCTTTAGGGGCAGCAGGACACTGAGGTTCAGCTTTTAGACTTGGGGATTATTGAGGATCTTTACAGCCACCCTCACATAGTTGGAGGAGGTTGTGCAATTGTGTCTGACAGGCTCAGCTGGCCACCAGACCCCTCATTCATGTTGCCCGTGGCTCTGTTAACCCCTTCCAGAGCGTTGGATCATCGTGGAATCACTTATCACAGGATAAGCGATGGAGAGGTGTGAGAAAAGGGAGACTGAGGACCAGCCATGCACTTGTACTGCTGAGGTGAGGAACCTCAACCACTCTCTGTGCCTGGTAAAACCCTCCAGGGACCCTGATGCAAAATCAGATCATGAATCCCCGTTCAAAAATAAAAAATTAAATAAACCCAATGCAATTTAAGACTCTTCCCACAGCTCAGCCACCACCTGGCTGCTTTATCTCTTCCCTCCAGCCAGGAGCTGCACCCAATTCACCTCAGCTCTGTCCCACCCTGCAGGCCTTATCAGCAGCACCTTCAGCCCTGGAGCATCACCCTGAACCTCACCCAACATCCCTCACCAGCCTGGGCTCCTCACTGGGAGCATCCCTTTATCTCCCAGCCATGCCAGGAAGGTCTGCAAGACTCAATAGAAACCCTTCTTTATCATCCTCAAATCTCCCTGAGACCTTTTCCTATTTAGGATCACAGGATATTTAATATCTGTCCACCCATGCAAGCACATGGATCACACAGTCTGCTCCCAGCACAGCTCTATGAAGCATTCCTATCTATTTTTTCAGGGAAGAAAAACCCCTCTGGATTGCTCTCCAGTTTCTAATTACAGCCACAGGAGACAGGAATCCCAAGCACCTGAGTTGTAAATGCGAAGCTTATTGCTCAAGCAGACACATTACAAGCAGGCTATCAATCACTTCTGGCAATTATTGGTACTTTGTGAGTATTTTGAACTCAGGAACGTGACAGTCTCATCCATCCTGGAGCAGAGAAATCCATGGGCATTTGCATACCAGGCTGAGCTGTGGGGGGAGGCAGCTCCAGAGGGGTTTCACTGCACATTTTGGGATGAAAAACAACTTTATTCAGGCTCTGTAAAGATGAGTCTCACATGTTTAACCATGGAAGAAGAGCTTTATAATATCCCTCTATTCCTACAGTATAAAGTGCTTCTATATGTTTGTTTCGTGGGGGTTTTTTGTTTTGTTTTGTTTTTTGGGGTTTTTTTCTGTGACTACTGACTCCAAACATAATTTCCTTTATTTTATAAACCTTTTGGGGCAGGTGTATCATGGCCTGGGTGAATCAGTGCTGCTGGGTATAAAGTCCAGGGAGGTTTCAAGTCATTTGATAAGGACTGGTGAACGTTTCCTGGTTCAGAAGGAATTATGGTGATCTTAAGGGGCTTTTTCAGCCTAAATGATTCTCTGGTTCTGGGGTTCTTTAATTACTGCTGCTGAGGTGTTGGTGGGGGTCCCAGGAAAGGGAAAAACCCAGGTTGGGTCTGATCTGCCTCTAAGACAGCATGAATAAGTGATGCAGCACCTCCAAGATGCTCCAGGATCAAAGGAATTCCCAAATAAACACACACACATCTTGCAAGGGTGGTGCTGGAGGAGCAGTAATGTCTCACCCCCCGGTACTACCCATGCTCACACTCACATGGATGGTATCACACTCACACGGACAATATCACACTCGTGCACAGTCACACACACACCTCCACACCATCACAGACATTGTCACACTCACAGTGTCCCACATACACATACCACCAGTTCTCTCTCTCACACACTATCACTGTCAGTATCATTTACACAATCACTTTTCCTCATCTATTTGCACTCCCTGTGACATACATTCACACACTCATTATTACACACTATCTCACACTCACTATCATACACCATCACACACGCAGTCACTAACACACACTCATTGTCACACATTGCCACTTGCACTGCCACACAGTATCATACATGCTCATTATCACTATCACACACTCATTACCATACTCATTATCACACTTGGTCCTTCACACTCACACTCATTACCACACTTGGTCCCTCATACTCATTACCACATTTGGTTCAGCACACTCACACTCTTTATCGCATCCATTACCATATTCATTATCACATTCATTATCACACTGGGTCCCTCACACTCATTACCATACTCATTATCATACTCTGTCCTGCACACTCACACTCGGTTCAGCACACTCACACTCTTTATCACACTCATTACCATATTCATTATCGCACTTATTATCACGCTCATTACCACACTCAGTCCTAAACACTCACACTCATTACCATATTCATTATTATACTTATTATTACATTCATTACCACACTCGGCCCCGCACACTCACACTCTTTATCACGCTCATTACCATATTCATTATCACACTCATTACCACACTCGGTTCAGCACACGCACACTCTTTACCATATTCATTATCACACTTATTATCACTCCACTACACCCGGTCTAGCACACTCACTACCATATTTATTACCATATCATTACCATATTCATTACCACATTCATTATCACACTCATTACCACTCTCGCTCCCACCCCGCCTCACGCTCGCCGTTCCTCTTCCTCACGCCTCCACCAATCACGTCCCTCCCTCCCCGCGTGGCCCCGCCCCCTGGGCCCCGCCCCCTCAGCTGGCCCCCGGCGGTCTCTCGTGCGCACGCGCGGAGGTTCCGTGACCGCGGGCCGGGAGCGGCGGCGCCGGGCCCTGCTCGGGGTGAGGGGCCGGGAACGCGGCTGAGCGGTGACGGGACCGGGGCACAGCGGGACAGCGGCGGCGCCGGGACGGGGAGCTGGGCTGGGTCGGGTTGGGCTGGGCTGTGCTTCGCGGGGCGGGCACCCGCGGGCGGGCACCCCCGGCACCCCGTTCCCTGTGCCGCGCAGCCCGGGCCGTTCGCGAGGGACCGCCGGGGCGGTTGCGGCCGCTCCGGGCCCGGCCTGCCTGGGGTCCCGTGGGCCCGCGGGAACGGGCGCCGTTCCCCTCGCACCAGGCCCCCGCCCCGCCGCAGCTTCCGGAGCGGTCGGTGTCGCCCGGACAGCCCGGGGGTGTCTGTGGTACCGGGGGCGGTGGGAGCCGGCAGCGGCTGCGGTGGTGGCGGCGCTGCCCAGGGCCGGGGGAGCTCCCTGAGGGCGGGTGACCCCCATGGGCTCCTCAGGCGGGACCCGGCTTGGCCCTTCCGGAGCTCCAGGAGCTCCTGCCACGAGCCGAAGGCGTTGGGGAGCTGGAGGAGCCCTCCAGACGGTGCAGGTTCACAAATCAGCGATCTCCCCGTAAATAACAACCCCCCTGCATGCCCAGAAGGACCCAGGAGCTGTCGGGTTGGGCGCAAAGTGTGGTGAGATCCCGTGGCCAGGTGGGATCTGTGTCTGGCTGTACCTGCCCTCCTCTCGCTGCCTCAGTTTCTCAATTTAACCCGTGCCCGAAACCAGCCCTCGGCTGAACTGTCAGGCAAACGCTTTGTTCCGCCTCTGTTTTCCCCCTCCGAGGGGAACTTGCTTAAAAGCTTGTTTTGAATGGAAGCAGTCCAGATTTGGAGCAGCCGGGTTATTTCTTGTGTTGTTTTGGCTGTCAAGCCAGGCACCTTGTGCCTTGAGGATCAGCTTAGGGCAGGGACTGGGATGGATCTGCGTGCTTGGGGTTATTACTGTGACCCTTCCCTGCTGCCGATCCCTTTCTCTGTTCTTTCTCTTTGGCTGGTGCTGATCGGCGCTGGGTGCTTGTGTAAGGGACGGTGTGTTTGGGTGTGAATTACCTGGCAACAGCTTCCAGCCCTGTTGCATCGGGTTTTGCTGTGCCCAAAGCGCGGCTCAGCTGGTGTGGGGCCCTGGTTTGGGGTCGGGGCAGGGCACAGGGCACCTGTAATGCTGCTCCAGTCGTGCCCCCTGCACAGGGCCACGTTTTACTGCAGCCCTGTGGGCTCCCGGTGCTTTATGTGCTCCCCTAATCCCTGGGTAATCTCTTCCCATGGGATCTTTGGTGCCCTCCCAGTCCTGTCTCTCAAAGTGGTGTCGTGATGCTTAACGATCCCTCCTGGGCGCTCTCTTTTCTGAACAACCTGCTGAAAAGTCTCTTATTTTACCAATCTGGTGGTTTTTATTTTTAATTCAGCCCAGCTCAAGAGCTCCCGAGGCTCCTTTTCTTTTCCAGGTACAAGCTTGCATTTCGTGATAACTTTTATCAGCACTGGCAATTCAAGTTCAGAAACTTAACAAAAGGAGTTGGCATTTTTAGAAATCATCTCAGACCCATGAATTTTAAGATCCTGCATTTAAAGTGAAAGAGAATTCTGCTTTCTGGAAGTAGAGCAGAGAATTAAACACAGCTTTCAAAGGTTTCAATTTCCATTCTCCAGCTTTCTCACCACCATTTGCTGGAGTTGGAGGAGCAGGGAGTGAAGCTGCTGGAAAACACATCTGAAATTCACTCAGTTTTTTTCCTGTCCAAGTCCCCAATTAAAGCCATGTGGACAAATGTTTCAGAGGTTGTGCTGGGAGTAAAGTTCCAACCAAACAAATCCATGCTCAGACTCTGAGCCAGTGTTACCAAATACCTTCAGGGTGAAGGGCATCTGGCTGGAATATTTAAGTCTGCACTTGAATTAGCCAAGGTTTTGTTTTCACTGGAGGAAGGGTGGCCCAGAGGATTTCTGACTGGAGCCACGACTGTTTGGTGAATAAGAGCTTTTAGGGTTGATGTGAATTTCAGCTTTTCAAGGTATTTTTAAAGCTTGAGGTGAAGAGTTCTAGTCCATGAGTAAAGATGTGAGCTGGGATGTGTAACACATCCCAAACCACGTCCCACTCTTCCCCAAACCCTTTCTGCTGTGGTGTAGTGCTGAGCACTGTACAAGCAGCTCCAGTATTGAATTTCTCAACTTTTACTATTTTTGTGCTGCTGAACTCTCAAAGAGAAATCAGGAGCTGCAACTTTAGGCCTTTTCTTTGTTATTTGCCATTACTGCAGGACTTGTGTGATTCTGGCTTACTGATGCTCTCCCGCATTCCTCGCTTCCCAATCCGTGCAAGCAGCTGCTGGCTCCAGCAGCTTTAGCACGAGCTGGCAGGAGGCTGAAATGCTCCCCTTGCTCCTCCTTTGGAGCAGCAGTCCCAGCACAGGAAATATTTTCCCACTCTGATGGGGAAGTGGATGCTGGAGCACGCGACACTCGCGTGCAGCACCTCCACGTGTGCTCCAGGACTCACAGCATCGCTGCCACCCGGGGCTGAGGGACAGGCTGGTGTCACCCAGCTGTCACCCCTGAGTGTGAGGTGGCACGGGAAGGAGGTGGCTTCTCTGCTGTGGTGTCTGCTTGATTGCGTTTCCTGCTGCTGTTTCAGAAAGGAAGGAAAAGGAAACGCTGGGTGCCTCCTCACAGCCTCCCTCCTCTCTGCTCTGCGTGTGGCTGCTGCTGAATGTTTGGTAACAACTTTGGTGTTGGTTCTGTATTTGGGGTTCAGAGCACCTTGTGCAGGTGGGTGGGACAAAATGCCACAGGCTGGCTTTTGCTCTGAGTTGAGCATGGACAATGCTGATGGTCCTTGAGCTGGAAAAGTGTTGGTGTGAAACCTGCCATAAAGTGCTTCTATATGTTTGTTTTGTGGGGGTTTTTTGTTTGGTTTTGTTTTGGTTTTTGGGGTTTTTTTTTTTCTGTAACTACTGACTCCAAACTACTGACTCTTTATTTTATATAACTTTTGGGCAGTTGTATTGTGGCATGGGTGAATAAAAGAAGTGGCAGAGCAGGTGTTGGATTTGATACCTTAAGTCTTAATTTGCTGTTTTGAGCAGTGAAATAACTGTCCTTGAAATGGATTCCTAGGAAAAGATTAATAGCAGACACCGGGGTAGGATCTTGGTGATCTTGGTTTGTCACCAAGATCAGTTGAGCTGAGGGTGTTGTATAAAAATCTCAGAGCAGCTCACAAACGAATTTACACTGAATTCCTGAGGAAACTGTTGCCTTCCTCTTACGAATGCAGACGTGTGGGTGTGTCTGTTCTGTGCTCACTCTCCTCTGTCTTTTTTTAAGCTATCAAGCCACACGGGCATGACGGATGGAATGCTCCACGGAGCGTGGGCTCTTCCCCCATCCGGCAGGGATGTCATTCTGTGTGCAGATGGCATCCTCCAGTGGAAGCCACCCACTGCTGCTCTGCCTCTTGGGAGACCTGAACTTCTGCATTGGATGGGGAGGAAGCTCACGGCTCCCTGCTGGCTGCTGGGAGTTAAGCGAGCAATCAATGACGCGAGGCCTCACAAGGGAGAAGGAGAATTTATTTCAAAACAAAATGAGTTTCACTCATTCACAGCCGAATCCACCTACGCACGAGCACCAACGTGGGGATCTCCAAGTGGTTGTCCAGCATTTGGACAGATGTGTGTGCAGATAGTTTGGACAGGATTCCTTGGAATGACACAACAGATAAGGAATGTAAAATATCAGACCTCTGGTGATCGTGTGATGCCTTTGGATCTGTTCTTTTTACATCCCTTGGGGGCCGAGAGTGGTGATCTCTTCTTGTTGGAATTTATTCACTGTCCTTTGTGTCTTTGTCTGGTCTTTGGGCTCCTACCCTTTCTCTGTTCTTCTCCAAATCATCTCTTAAGGGCTTGAGTCTCTAATGCTGATTGTCCCTCGTTTCAAGACGTTCCTTGTTTTTCAACTGAGAAGCTGCAAATAGGTGTGCTTTGATCTTGAGGACCTCCTAAATCAGTGCCCTCAGCACAGGCAGTTGATTGTGCCCTGTGTTCCTCCTGGCTCTCTTGCACTCCTTCCCATCTGTTTTTTGCTGGGATCACACTGAACTAAAGAAGAGTTTGTACCGTGATTTGCAAACTGTGCATTAAGAGTTGTTTTCTGGCTCTGTTTGCATGTGTAACGCTGCACAGGAGTCACAGGAGTGATCCTGGGCCAAAACTAAGTGATCAGAAGCCTGAATGGAGCTGATGGTGTAGCCCTGGAGCTCAGATCAGTATGAATGGTTTGGGAACCATTTGTGTAACTCTGTCATTTCTGTGAATGAGTGTTGGGCCAGCATTTGGCAGCTCACATTGGGGTGGTCAGTGTGATGCTGCCAGGAGCAGTGCTGAGCATGGGGAAGGGGCAGAATGGCAGCTTGCCTTGGCAAGTGAGTGTCTGAGCTCATGCCAGGGCTTGCAGGTCTGCCTGACACAGGGATGGTTTGGGACAGATCTCTGGTGGCTCAGGTGGTGTTTGGTGCCACAAACCATAGGAAACAGTCTCCCTGAACAGTGTTTGCCCTCAATTAGCACAAGTTGCCAGCACTGGCGGGGAGTGAGTGGTGGTACCTCACTTACCCTCAGCCACAGGGTTTTGAGGCCAGTCTGCTTCTCTGGAGTCTCCTAAATCCATAGTGAACATTCTCTGTGAAAGTCAGAGCTTGTTTCCCTCTCAGATGGCTTGTATGATGTGGGGTGGGGTGATTTGGGACATTGTCCTCAGCTCCCCGTGCTCTGTGTTTCTTGCTGCAGGTCCCCAGGAGAAAATGGTGTGAGGCCAGCTCAGATGGCTTGTATGATGTGGATGTGGGGTGATTTGGGACATCATTCTCAGCCCCCTGTGCTCTCTGTGTTTCTTGCCGCAGGTCCCCAGGAGAGGATGGTGTAAGGCCAGCTGTGCTGCCCCTCGGAGCCGCGTGGTGCCCGGAGCTCAGGGAGGAGCATGGCCGCAGCTCAGGGAGCGGGAGGCGGCTCGGGCCCAGCCGCGCCCTCGGGCCCGCCCGCTTCTGCCCCGGGGCACGGCAGCGGCTCCACGGCGGTGGCGGTGTGGGAATGGCAGGATGAGTTCGGCAGGTGGAGGCCGTACCGAGGCAATGTCTGCAGCTACATTGAGCAGGTTATCCAGGCCTCGCAGCAGAAGGGCCGGCGCTCGGGGTCGGGGCTGGTCAGCAGCATTCCTTTGGGACACGCCGATCCCGCCTTGGCTCCCTATGTCATCGACATTCCAAGCCTGACGCAGTTCCGGCAGGATACAGGTAAGGGGGATTCCCCACCCGTTCTGCTGGTGTGCTTGGGGACAAGCAGGGCCTTGTGCTGTGTATGAGAGCCCTGCAAAGCTGTTTGTTACCGTGCTGGGCAGCTCTGTGAGCATCTGAGCAGCATCTGCTGCTCTCCTAATGCTGTGTGGAAAAATCTCTGGAGCTGGGTGCAGGCAGACAGCCATGATCTCTTCAGGAGCATCATCAGGGGACCCCTGGAGCTCCCAGCCTGTGAGCCAGAGCTCTCAGAGCTGGAAACTTCCCTCCCCCCCCAATCCATTCAAGATCACTTGTGTAAAAAAGGCCTTTTTACGATTCCAACCCTCCTGCTTGAATCCCTTGCTCCCTCTGGAGTTGGAGTGCCAGCTGCTTTGCCTTGGCATGCAGCCCTGCTCAAGCTGCTTGTGAGTGCCTGCAGCCCCGGCACGACACCAAAACGCTGCAGCAGAATCTTCCCTCCACTTGTGCTGGGTGAGCCTGGCTCGCTTCCTCCCAGGGAGAAAGGGCAGGGTGGGCTCAAGAGCAGAATTGAGACCTGATTTTCATTCTCCCATCTCCTGGGGTCACTGGGAGTAGCAGCTCAGAATTTGCAGAGATGACTCCTGCCCTTTTTTACTGCAGATGTGCTGAGCAGCTGGAGCTTAGAAAAAGGGCAAGGATGGAATGTATGCATTTCATCCCTGGAAAATCCAGGGAGATCCCAAATTATACACCCCTGATGAATGGCTGCTTTGGAAAGCTTTTCATCCATCAGTTTCCCCTTTGTCAATGTCTCTCCCATCACTCCAAGACGCAGTTGAGCATCATGCCAAGCTTGTAGAGGGGCATGTGCTGGTTTCTTGCCAGTTGAAACAGTAAATGAGCAATATTTTGAATTAACTGCATGATCAGCCAGTTCCAGCAGGAAAGGGAAGTGGTTGGAGCAAATGTCAGTGATCATCACAGCTGCATCCGTGTTTTTATTCTGACTTGGTGACCTTAGGCTGAGTTTATCTAGTGATGTCCTGGGTGAGATGAGGAGCTTTCTAAGCTGGATGGAGGTGTGCTCAGCTTGGCCTGTTCAAACACCTGGAAGGCCAGCTGAGGCTGTGGTGGTACAGTGTGGACCACCAGAGCTGGCACCAGCAGCTGTTTCTCTCCTGGTTTTTTCATGCCAAACTTGTGAAGGAGCCTTCCAGCCTCTGGCCCTTCCAGCCAGTGCTCCAGCCTGTGGGCAGCAGCCCTAAGCTGTCTGGTGAAGGTGAGCAGAGAGCCTGTGGGGTGGGTGAAATGTGTCCCAGTGTGAATGGGACATTCTTTTCCACAAGTACAGCTGTCTGTCCTTAGAGGGTTTGTATCTCTTTAGGTCCTCAAAGATCTCTTTAGGTCCTCAAAGATCTCAAAACAGTCGCTGAATATTGTCCATTTTAGGGTGGTTTGGAGCTGTTCTTCTCTGGAGGACAGTCCAGTTCAATTCTGGAAATGCTGTTGGCTGATATGATCTCATCTTTCCGCTAGATCTGAGTTTAAGTTAATAACAAAAAGGCTGATTCTGCTCCACAGCTCTCCTGCAGTGTTTCCCATTGATCCCAAGGGATGCCGATCAGTGCTGTGAACTCTCTCCACAAATACCTGTGTGCTCTGCAACGTGACTGTTGGAAAAGCTCTCACATCCCCTTGCCATGGCCCAGTTCTGAGCAAAGCTTTTTGTCTCTGCAAGACTGCCTTCAACGTGAACCTTCCTGAGCGAGCCGCCAGCTGAACTTTGTCATGTGCTGGAGAAAAGAATCTCTACAGGAAACATCCCCATGAAAAATCTTTAAACAGTGCAAAAAATAGGCTGTTGTATTCTGCTCATTAGCTATTAGACAGATAAATAGGCTCTTCAAAGGAAGCCAGGGAGAATAACAGGAAGCCAGTGTTAACGGGAGCAGCGTCCCCAGCAGCAGGGAGTGACAGCTGTGCGGGGGGATCTTGGGGCAGGATTAGCTGTGGGCTTCAGCTGCTGCTCAAGGCAGATTAGCTGGGAGTGAGTGCAGGGGAGCAGCAGGAGTTGTCCTCTCCCCACAGCTGTTTGCCCACCCTGGAGAGGAATGCCAGTTTCCCTGCCAGCCTGGGGGAAGGGAGATGTTTTCCAAGCGCATTGCCTTGCTCTTGTTGTTGACTCCTAAAAATCTTCTTTCTACTGCTGTTTGAGGGTGTTAAAAGCACAAGTTGCTTGCAAGTCCTGCAGTCCTCTTTGTGCTCTTTTAGCTTCTGAGCTGCCAATGGAGCAGGGGAAGCCTTGCTAATCTCCTGAGATGTGTCCCACTGGACACCTTGCCTTACCTGTAGTAGTCCCCTTTCTCTGGGAGCAGGTTCCCTGCACTCATTTCTAAATGTAATGCCTGTCTCACCATCTCATTCCCAGTCCAGTCCCATCCCATTCCTAGCCCTCCTCCTGCTCAGGGATTCATTCCTGAAGTTATCCACCTTTTGAGGCTGGCTGTGTTTGTGAAACTTAGCAGGACTTGCTGAATAGGAGAAGTCATTGCTAGAGTTTGCTTTTGGCTGTTTAGTCTGCTTTTCCACTAAGACATCAATGCCAGGCTGGGAAGGCCATGTTGGTCCTGATAGTTTCAGCCAGAGGAAGGTCTGGTCCCACAGGAATCTTGAGCTCCATGGTTGAGCTGTTGGGGAGGCTGCTGTAGTGTTTTAAGTGTGCTGATGAGATGTTTGTTGGCTGGTGTCACTGGAGAGTCCTGCTCTGCAACAAGCAGAGTGCTTGGTGCTGCTCTGGAGCAGAAATACAAGTCCTTGGTCTGGCACATTCTGCCTTGGAAAGGGCCTTAGCCTTTGTGTCAGCTCTGGAGCTCCAGCAGTGCTGAGATAAGGGAACAGTTACAGTTTTCACAGCTCTTGGGTACAATAAGAGCAGCATGATCCTCATGCCAGCATGCAAGCAGGCAGAGCCCAAACACAGCAGCAGTTGGATTCTGGCCTTGTGGAATCCCATGTGGGCTGTCCTCCCTCTTCTTTGGGATGTGCTTGTTGGGCATGAAGCCTGCCTGGATTGTCTGTGCCCCACAGACAATCCAGTGATATCCTGGGGCAATTCTCCTCAGGCTTTAGGTGTGGGTATTTGTAAACGTGCCAGTTTTCACCTGGGGTCCTGGAACATAGTGCCAGAACTCTCATGACCTCTTTAGAGGCTTTACTTTATTTTTTTTTTCTCTTGGTGCTCTTCTTTGAACTCCTCCTGTGTTGTTCCAACTTGCTGCACCCCTGTTCACCCTCACCTTCCTAAATCCCCAGACTTGCCTTCCCCACAGCTTTTTCTGCTCCTCTTTCTCTGTGCAGAATGTTGCTGAAGGTTTTTCCTGCAGGAGCAGTTTTGACCCTGCTGCACAACCCATTTTCAAAGGTTACAGAGCTTCTGTCCTGTTGGGTGGCTTCCTTCCCCTCTCATTAGGCTGCTGCTTTTTTGAAGTGAGGGATAAAGTACCCAGGAGTGGAGTCATCCTGGAAAGCCAGGCTTCCAGGGAGGTCGAGCTCCAGCTGTCGCTGTCGAGCGGCCTTGCAAGAGTAGAGTTTCTCCTTCCATTTCTCTCCCTTTGTCTGAACAGCTGCTCTCTCCAGTTTTAAGTCACTTCATTGTCTTCCCCTCTCTGGTCTTGCTCTCTCTCTCAGCAGTCAGAAGTTTGCCCTTCTCCAGAGTCCTTGCCCTTGCCCCTTGTGGGACTTCCCCCACTCTCCCAAGATTGAAATTTCCCCGACCCTTGTGTAACAAAGTGGGTGTTCAGCCCCTTAAGTGCTCCTACAAAGTACTTCCCGATGGTGTCTTGTCTCTATAGTTACTCTGTTGTCAAGGCTGTGGGAGTTGTTTTTTTTTTAACCAGATCTGTGCCTCAGCCGGATTTTTTTTTTTCTTTTTCCTTTTTTTTTCCTTTTAACGTCAGGGAGGCATATGTGATCACTGTGCCTTTGTGCTTGGGTGTGTCTGCGTCTGCATCCTCTCTCCTTCCCTCCTTTCCCACCCTTCCTCCTTGCAGCTTTTGAACCTGCTGCCAGCCCACAATCAGATTTGGCAGAAGGACAGATATCTCAGAGATGTTGCGTTTTTCTGAGCTTCATGAGCAAACCCAGCCCTGTTGGGAAGAGAAGATCTTTTAGTGCCCCTCTTGAAGGGAGAGTGAGAAAGGCTGTGTGGATCTGTGCAGAAACAAATCCCCAGGACAACACCCCCCTTTTCTCTGCTGGCTAAATTGTTGTGTGTGACAGTGTTCACAGGGGTCTCAGGCTGAGGGAAGAGATGAGGATCTGACTCCATGTTTCAGAAGGCTTGATTTATTATTTTGTGATATATATTACATTAAAACTATACTAAAAGAATAGAAGAAAGGATTTCTTCAGAAGCCAGCTAAGAATAGAAAAAGAAGGAATGGTAACAAAGGTTTGTGGCTCGGGTTCTCTGTCCAAGCCAGCTGTGATTGGCCATTAATTAGAAACAACTAACATGGGCGAGTCAAAGATCCACCTGTTGCATTCCACAGCAGCAGATAATCAATGTTTACATTTTCCTCCTGAGGCCTCTGAGCTTCTCAGGAGGAAAACTCCTGAGGAAAGGATATTTCATGAAAGATGTCCCTACAGCTGTGTTCACTGTCCCCTGCTCTCCCCACAGGGACCATGCGGGCTGTCCGCAGGCACGTCTTCCCGGGGGACTCTGCCGCTGGCCAGGGCGTCGTGTGGGAGTGGCAGAACGACGAGGGCGGCTGGTCCCCGTACGAGATGAACGTCTGCGTGTTCCTGGAGCAGGCCCGTGCCACCAACCACCAGCGAGTGGATCTGGGGCCCTTGGGCTACAACTATGAAGTTGACTTTGTGGCTCAGGTGCAGACCAACAAGAGCACGCGCTTCCGCCGCAGCGTTCAGAGGCGCTTGGACGCCCCGTACCCGGTGACCACCTCCACCACACCCCTTCACACTGGCGTGGGATGTTCTTGCCAGCAGTGCTGGCCAAACAGCGGGACTGGCCCCATCACCACGCGCTACCGACACTCCACAAACTCCCCCAACTCTGCCACTGCTCATCAGGTTCCCGGGAGGACAGCATCTGTAAGTTCCTCCAACGTCGGCTTCGTGCCCTATAACAAACCTGCTTTGACTGGAGCGAGGTCAACACCGAGACTCAATGCACAGAGCACCTTGGTTTTGGCTCAGACTGGGAACCTCAGTGCAGCATTGGCAGCATCTAATGGAGTCAGGTACAGATCCTAATTCACCTTTAAATACCATGTGTGTGTCCAGCAGATCCTAATTCACTTTTAAATACCATGTGTGTGTCCAACAGATCCTAATTCACCTTTAAATACCATGTGTGTGTCCAACAGATCCTAATTCACCTTTAAATACCGTGTGTGTCTGTCCAGCAGATCCTAATTCACCTTTAAATACCATGTGTGTGTCCAGCAGATCCTAATTCACCTTTAAATACCGTGTGTGTGTCCAGCAGATCCTAATTCACCTTTAAATACCATGTGTGTGTCCAGCAGATCCTAATTCACCTTTAAATACCCTGTGTGTGTCCAGCAGATCCTAATTCACCTTTAAATACCATGTGTGTGTCCAACAGATCTGCTGTGTTCAGGTCTGCATCCAGGAGTCTCTCTATCCCACAGGACCTCCCACAAGGGTCTTGTCCCTAGGAGAGAGAGGTTTGTGCCTGTATATCCAGTGCAGTGGATGAAAAAACTTCCCCTCTGCTTTCTACCTCTTTTCTTTCCATTTGAGATACAGTCTCTGTCTACCAGTCTCCCTGAACCACAGGGCAATTCACTCAAGTTGAGATTCTGAAGGCTTGAGAAAATTAATACTGAGCAGTGGTATTTTGGGTTAGGTTAAAAAACTACATTGAGGGGAATTCAGTGAAGCAAAAGGGGACTTGTAAACACACCTATTTAATTCAAATTAGGCAGTAAAGTGGAACACTGCTCTGCATTCTAAGCTCTTCCTCTTCAAGGAGGGACCACAGAACTCCTTGCATGTGGCTGGGACCTCATGAACTCTCTGTGAAAATCAAGTTGTTTTTCAGGCTAAGTGGTGATGAAGAGCAGAGGTGCCACTGGATCCATTTTCACTATGGCTCTTTCTGACAGGGCTGGAACCAGTGTGCATCTCTCAGCCCAGGATTTCAGCTCCTGTCAGCTAGAGCCAAAGGAGGGCTGTGTTTGCACCTTACTGGTGGGGGAGGAAGAGCCTCACTTCTCTTGAGGCCTTTTGGTTGCTGCCAGCTCAGTGAAAAGCAGAGGCTTGTGGTCTGACAGCCCGGCTCCTCTCCATGGCATGGGCTGCTGGGGCCAGCCATAGTTGGTTATTCCACTTTCAGGATTTTAACTCTTCCTGTGCTCCAGCCCTTGCTGGCAGAGGTGTGTGTGGCCTGTCTGTGGCAGTGCTGGCACCAAGTGTGACCCAGCAAGGGCTGGCTGAGCTGCTCCCTCTGTTTGTGAATGGCTGGAAATGGCAGAGCCTTACACTCACCTCACTGGGCGTAATCCAGCTGTTGAACCCCTGAGGAACTGCAGGGGAACCTGCCAGGGCTGACTTACCTGTCCAAGTACAGAGATAAGAGATCTTAGAAGCACATTCTGCTAATTGCATGAGGCACAGGGGTTTGAGGTTTGTTTTGCATCTCATTTGTGTTTTAAACAAGACTGTGAATCTTGAGATGTTTTTCTTAGTGTCGTGTCAGGACTTTCCCGCTTCAGGGTCACCCAAGTGAAATGACTTCTGACATCCTGTTCTTCTTTCTCACGGTGTTTTTTTGGTGCTTTTTTTCCACCTGGTGATTTTTCGTGTTGCCTTAAGCATCCACAGTGCTTCTCAGTTCCAGTCACCTTCAAGTAGGGCTGAAAATCAGCCCCCAGTAAGGCTCTGGCTGTCTCCTGAAGAAGCTGCCAAATTCCCCCTCTCACAGGAGTTTCTGGTGGGTGCATGGGGCCACTGGGCTGCCTGGAGCCCCCATCCCTTCCCAAAAGATTTGCAAAGTGACTCAGGGTGGGGAGGTTGAAAAGGAAGAGCCAAGTGCTGCAGCAGTTGTCCCACAAGGCTGTCTGGAGGTGATCAGGGTCTGGGTATTTTGTGTGCTCCTGGTGGAGGGACAGGCTGTCCTGAAAGGAGGGAGGATGGGACAGAAATGCTTGGAGGGGGTTGCCACAGGTTCCTGACTGAGCCCCTGGCCCAGGCTGTGCTGACTGGGAGGAGAGGGGTGGCCAGGATGTGCCCATGGCTGGCTGAGGTTGGGCTGTTTGAACCTGTTTTGCAGCTCAGCTGTTTGTGTTGTGTTGGTGTCCTGGCAATCATCCCCAGCCAAGCCAGCCTTTCTGGGGGATGGGAAGGGATTGTACAGGTAAATCTATGGCACACAGGGCAGGTGGCAGCTCTTTGGGTACCTGGGAGTGTATGAGTGCTGTCAGACCTGTGTAAAACCCACACCCCCAGTGAGCCCCACTCCCCTGGCTGCTGGCTGGCTGTCTGTCCCTTGGGCTGTGATCTTCACTCCTTTGGGATTAGTTTTGCAGCTCTCCTTTATCCCTGCCAGAACAACAAGTGCACACAGGGGGGCAATCTCTGTCTTCAGCAGGGTGCCATGTGTCAAAGGCACTTTTTCATCCCCAGCTGCCAGCTCAGGATGGCTTTTCCCCAACAGCCCTGTGCTGGGGTTGGCAGGAAATGCCACTGGCTGGGTGTAATTGCTCCTGGCTGGAGTTACAGGCTCAGGCTCATGGAACCCATGTCCCAGCAGAAAATCCTTTAATTTCTGTGAATTAGGGGAAACCTGAGTAGCAAACTCTAACAATGTGTTTCATTTAATTCCTAAACCCAGAGCATTCCTGGGTTATTTTATCCATTAGGTTCTGTGTCTTGCCCTCCTCAGACATAGTGTGGTGGTTAGTTCCCCTTCCCTTGCAGTCAATGCCCTGCATCTCCCTACAATCTGACCATTTTGGCTAATTATCCTGCATTAATTATCCTGCCACGGGTTTCTGGCTGTGCTCTCTTAGCTGTGATGTGCAATTCCTGTGCTCAGAGACCCAAGGGAGGGGAGCACTGGGCCATGGTGCATCCTCTGGTGTCTGCTAAAGGTTGTGTTGTGTTCACCCCACAGCAGCCCTGACAGATTACTTGCTTTTACAAAACTGCTGATCTCCACAGAACTTGCAGAGGTGGCTGAGCTGCAACTGGCAGAAGGGCTCAAAAACTCCCTGGGAGTTTTTGAAATGCAGTGCAGTTGTTTACACCAAATTTCTTTAGAAGACACAGCTAAAAATGGCAGCTGTGTTTTCTAAAGAAATTGGGTGTGAATTTCTTTAGAAAACACAGCTAAAAATGGCAGCACCTCTCTTACAGGGCTGAGAATGAGGTGCAGGTCATCCTGGAAAGCTGCCTTGGCTCCCTGTGTGGCTCTGGCAGTTATTTCCAGCAGGGGTAGCCCCCAGAACAGGCATGCCCAGGCTGCTGTGCCACTGAGGTGATTAAATGCATTTCCTGCTTGCTGGAGGGTGGAGCTCCAGCCCTGCCAAATGCGCTTTAATTTCCTCCTGCTCTCAAGAGGGTCAAAGCCACTGGAAAAGCCAGAGAGGAGTGCCAAGGCTTAACTAGATGCTAATATCCTTGGCTGTGCTGCTAATAAATTACATACATGTGGGCAAGTTGTTTTGCTTCTTGGTGCATTAGTTTCCTCTGGTGGATTAAACACAGTTAATGAATCTGGCCTCTCTCATGGACAGTGCTGGAATCTGCACATGGAGTGTGCCATGCCAAGGGCTGTGTCCTTACCTCAGCACTGTTAACCAGATCCCAGGCACCTCCTGGCAAATCCTTGCCACCCCACACATGGGAAAGCATCAATTCCCTAGGGCAAGAGCTCCCTGCACTGTCTAATTACAGAGTAAGGCACTCCTGAAGCTCAGTAAGGAGTGCCCTGTTGTAATATGAGCTAGTAAAGCTCCAGGAAGCAATCTTCTGGGGGATATTAATTAGTGTCCCAGCCAGGCAAATCCCTACAGCAGCTCTGCAGGCTTCTCTGGGCTTATGTGGCTTTGGCTGCTGGTCTGGGTTGTGTCTGCAAATAAGGCAGGCAGCTGATGGGGGCAGGATTTTGTATAAAACCAGGAGGAAAGGGGGTCTTGGGAGCTGGAAAAGGATGGTGACAGAACTGGGGTGTGTGACCATGTTCACAGGGGTCTGAGGATGAGGGAAGAGACGAGGATCTGACTCCATGTTTCAGAAGGCTTGATTTATTATTTTATGATATATATTACATTAAAACTATACTAAAAGAATAGAAGAAAAGGATTTCATCAGAAGGCTGGCTAAGAATAGAACAGCAAAGAATGATAACAAAGCTTCTGTCTCAGACAGAGTCCGAGCCAGCTGACTGTGATTGGTCATTAATTAGAAACAACCACATGAGACCAATCACAGATGCACCTGTTGCATTCCACAGCAGCAGATAATCATTGTTTACATTTTGTTCCTGAGGCCTCTCATCTTCTCAGGAGAAAAAATCCTAAAGAAAGGATTTTTCATAAAAGATGTTTGTGACAGGAATGTTCTGGTGCTGCACCCCAAATCTCCCATGGGGAACAGTGCACAGTCTGTGCTTTGTAGGATCAGGAATGACCCAAACCAGGGCCTTGCCTTCTTTCCCTCCACCTTTGTATCCTTCAGCTTTGTCCACAGGCATTGCCCTGAGCTCCTTGGGTGCTGAGGAGCCCTCCTGGTGCTGGTTCCACTGTGCCCACTGTGAGTTGTCCTGCAGCCCTTTTAGCCAGCAGGGTGCTACCACCATGTGACATTAATGTCACCTGGCAGCCCTGGGAAGGGGTCTGGACCTTAAGGAGCTGTGGTAGCTCTTAGTGTGAAGCAGAGCTGGATGCTGCCCTGCTCTGTGAGAAGTGTTGGCTGTTGCCCAGAGGGCTACAAAGATGCTGTGATACAGAGATCTGTGGCCTGCTGGTTGTGTGCAGGGGAGAGGAAGGAAGAAAGGGCCACACCAGGTGGAGAGGGTGAGTCCCTACAGGCTTCTGGTGATGGCTCCAACCTGGCCACCCCGTGTTTGAAGTGGCAGCAGCCCTGGATTCCAAGCTGTTGACACAGCTCCTTGCTGGACTTGTGCTTTGGTGTCTCACTGGTGTTGCAGATTGTTGAAATTCTGGAGAAGCCAGTGTGTTTGTCATGCTGGAATCTCAGTGTGCCCTGCCTGCCTCCTGTAGCTGCCTGGGAGCCAGTGGTAGGAAATCTTACCAGGATCTTCTTGCTGAACCTCTGATTTTGCATCTTTTTATTCACAATCTGGTGATCCCTGTTACACTCAGGAACATCCAGCACACAGAGCAGTGGGAGGGCAGGAGCTGCAGCAAACAGCAGGACAGAATTGAACCAGGAAGGAGGAATTGACACCAGGACACTTTCGGAGAACTCAGGTGTTGACTTTCAGGTGTTGCAAGCACCTGCAAGAGCACTTGGCCAGGAGTCAGAGGCACCTCCTGGTGAGCAATCTCCATGGGCAGAGGGAGCAGGTGGCTCAGTGGCTCCTTCTCATCTCTCCACACTGCAGTGCTTGCTCTTGCACTGATGCTACCCACATCTCCCTTACCCAAAACATCATTTTTTCTCCTAACTCAGCTGTTTTCAGTAAATTACCAGGACCTCTCCCCAGAAGCCAGCACTGATGAGGCAATGCTGGAATATGTGGGGCTTGTGCTGCTCCGTTATTGGATGAACTGTCCACATTACACTACAATGGCAACATCCTTCCTTGTTACCTCATCCCCTTCCTCCCCCAAGCCCCCACTTCAGACCCAGGGCAGGCTCTGGGAGCATTTCCTCACCTTTTTTGGCACAGCAGCACTTCCTCCCACGCACTGTCACTGCAGACCTGCCCAGGCAGTGCTGTGGTACCTCAGAGCTCTGTGCATTTCCCTTGATTTCATCACCCTCTGGGCTTTCTGCAGTTGTAACAGAGCTCAGGGAGCGTGGCAGCCCTGCTCCCACGGTGCAGAGTGGATGGCTCAGCATATCCCACAGCACTGTCAGCTGAGATGCTGCTAGTGAATGAGTATTTAGTGAAATAAGAAGTTTTTGGTTTCTCCATCATCACGTCAGTTGGCTCAAAGCCTCCAGCAGCCAAAGCTGACACACTTTGCCTTTACAGCAGGAGTGCAGCTGACCAGTGACTGGTTCCTGCATGGTAATTTATCTGGTTCCTGGCTCATGGATGGTAATAATTTATCTGCAGTGCACTCACAGCCTCCCAAACTTGATTGCTTGCAAATGCATCAAGTGCTTATCCTGTGTTTCTCTCTGCAGACCTCAAGGGCTCTTCTCACTTCTGTTGTGGTTTAACCCAGCAGACATTTAATCACCACACAGCCCCTCAACTCTCTCCATCCTTCCTCAGGAGGGAGAAGCAACTGGAAGAAAAGATAGTAAAAATTGTGGGTTAAAATAAAGACAGTTTAACAGGACAGAGAAGGGAAGGAAAATAATAATGCTGATGATAATTGAAACTACAAAACAAGTGATGCACCAAGCAATTGCTCACACCCACTGACCACTGCCCAGCCATTCCCAAGCAGCAGCCCCCACTCAGTTTTCCCCCTGGTTTTGCTACAGATCATGGCATCCTGTGTTCTGGAATATTCCTTGGGTCACTTGGGGTCAGGTGTCCCAGCTGTGTCCCCTCCCAGCTTCTTGTGCCCCCCACCCTCCTCACTGCTGGGGTGGGTGAGGAGCAGAAAAGGCCTCACTTAGAGTAAACACTGCTCAGCAGCAACTAAAGCATCCCTGTGTTATCAGCATTCTTCTCACCCTAAATCAAAACCAGCTACTAGCAAGGAAATTAGCTCCATCCCAGCTGAAACCAGCACAACTTCATACAAGTTCTAACTCATGGATGATTGGATTTGAGTCCCACAAGTAGAAAACAAGAGTGAAGGATTTCTCTGCCTTGATGGTTACCAGTGATCCCCTTCCCAGGGCAGCTCTGGGTTTGCTTTCTCCAGCCTCAGGTGTAATGTCCCTGTGCTCCAGTTTATTACAAGAATTCCCTGCCCCCACCTCTTTTCCTGGCACAGCAGAAGGTTCAGCTTTGTGCTTTATTTTATTTTTACCTTCCATGGGGAAGTGAAAGCGCCCAAGGTGCTGCTTCATCTCAGATCTCAGGGCATGGCCACAAAACACAAACTTCTGTATTGGTCACAGGCTGGGGTGGAGGGGGTGCCCAGGCTCAGTGGTGTTTTCTTGGCTTCTCAGGAGGAAATGAGGGAATGTCCAATGTCTCTGATTTTTTAGGAGCTGTTCTGTCAAGTTCCTGGTCCTCAAATATGTCTGCAGCTAGAGGAGTCCTGCTCCTTGCCATCTTCTGAAGAGGATCATAAAGGCAGAGATGAAGCAAAGGGATGAAATAAAGAAGTAGGGAAATACCTAAGAAAGAGCTGTGACAAAGAGGGTGAATCAGGAATGAAAGAGAGTCATAAAGACATCTGATTTACAGCCCTTTGAAATCACAGGGAAGATTTTCCCTGTGTTTGGTGGGTTTGAATTGGAGCCAGAAAAATCTGTTGCATCATTTGAAGGCATTGTGAAATTTGGGGCAGCAGAAGGGAAAGCACAGCCTTTGAAAGAGGCAGGAGGGAAACCTCTGTGGCCCAGAGAGCTTTATAAGGGTCTGGGGGTGCTGATCTCACTTGGCCAGAGCTGCACCAAGCCCTGGGCTCTCCAGGGAGGCCAGCACACTTCTGGGAACCTGTTCCAAACTGAGGCAGGTAGGAGAGGGGACAGGTGGGGTGGAAAACAAAAACCACTTGTGTCACTCAAAAATCTTTTTAGCCCTGATCATTCTTATCTGAACATGAAAAAAGATTTAGCAAGACTGAAAGGAGGGACCTCTGTGGTACCTTTTTGGGCAGGGCAGCTCTTGCATCCCAGCTGGACAGAAGAAGGTTTCCCTTAAATAGTGAGATTTGGGCTCCTGACCACCTTAGTCTCTGAATTCCTAAGCAGCTGGCCAGGTCTGTGTCATTTTGGAGAGTCCTTGGAGGTTGTTGTGTGAATGCACCATGCATTAATTGCTGCCGGGGTGCATGAGCCTCATCCATCCCAGACACAGGGGCCACATGAGACAAAGTCCTGGGTGGCTTCTCTGTGCCACCATTTGGATTTCAAGTATGTGGATCCATATGGATGGATTCCATTTGAATTTCAAGTATGTGGATCCTCTGCTAATGTAGATCCAGCTTGGTTTCTTCTCTAGTGACCCCCATCAGTGTTGATGCTGCTGCTCCCCTTTCCTCCCTCTCTTCTGCTAATGGCATAACCCTGGCTGCCCATGTGTCCCAAAGGTGAAGTACAGCTGCCAGCACTGCCAAAAATAGTAGGTGAGGAACCTGGAAGGCATGTTTGGTGTCCATCTTCTCTTGATTTCCAAATGAGAATAGGCCAAGCTCTTCTAGGTCTCCTCCAGCCTTCCTTCCCTCCTCCCCCTTGGATATTGGTGCAGGTTGGCTGCTCACAGGAAGCTCTGTGGGTGGGTGGTGAGAGCAGGGAGGTATCACAGGATCAGAGCAGGGTCCAGCAGGAGGAATGGGTGAGTTAGGAGAAGATGGGGCTGGAAGCAGCTTCACACAGCAGAGCTCTGAGGCTCCCCTTGCAGGTAAGTAAATGCAGGAGAGGGCTCTGGTAAGGACACAGCTCCTTAAGTACAGCTGCAGGAGCAGGGGAGGAGGGCCCATGGGTGAGGGTCCCAGCTGGGGCTCATCTGAGCAATCAATCCCTGCTCATATATCCAGGGCCCTCAGGAGGGAGCAGAGCATTGCTGAGTTCTCTTTATTTTGGCTCGCTCTAATCCTTGCTGTTAAAGTCATCTCTTCTTTCCTCTCCAGTGCCCAGGCCCTGCCTGTCAAGATGTCCAAATCCAGCAGGGTGAGCCAGGCCCTGGCAGGTAAGAACTCCTCTGTGCTTTATTTGTTCAATCCTTAGGAGTAGGTGAATGAGAGGTTTGCTTTTCTGTATAATTTACTTTCTATTTTCGACTTTTGGAAAGAGTCAGAAACGTTGGTGGCCTTTAAGGTTTTAGGCCCAAAGATTTTCCAGAAAAGCAAAAAGGGCAGATTTGGGGGGGAATGGAATAGATAAACCTTATGAACTGTTTTTATCATCCTGAGTCTTTCAAAATAAGTGAGATTATTTAAGGCTATTCATCTTCTTCTGTACATGTGGATGAGCAAGTAGCAAAGGAAAGGGCCTGTGAATCAAGCTCAGTGCTAGCTGCTATTTTCTGCTTTTTTTAAAGTCAAAGGAGAGGAGTGGTGTGAGATTTTGTGTGGTTTTTAATATGATTTTTTACAATGTGGTTTTATTTAAAAAAAGCTCAGATGGTCCTTAGCTTAAAGAGGATTGTGATACCTTGTGTTGGGAAAGGGGGACAGAAGTTGAATCAGACATTGTCTCCTGGTTTGCTTGTTATCCAAACCTGTGAACACACCACTAAATATACTGAGCAATATATCTGGGAGGGATGAAAGTGCCACTTTTCAATGCTCCTTTTCAGAGTAGATTGGCCTGTTAAAGTTGAAATGGCTTTGCCTTGAAAATAACAACTTGTGCTGTCAGCTTCCCGTGGAAGTGTTGCTGTGCCAAAAGCCAGTGGCACCTTCGCTGTGTTTGGCTCAGCCAGTGCCAAACCAGTGCCCCTGGCGTGGTGGAACTGGGGGGTTTGGGTGCTCTGGTACCAGCTGTGCTCTCAGAAGTGCATCATTACCTGGTGGAGGAGTGCTAAACGTCTGATATCTGGTGTTTTCTTGAGTTTTCTCTGTTTCAGACTCTACAGAATGTGTGTTAACCCTCTCCTTCCTCTGTCTCTTGTCCATGCATGGTCTCTTGAGGTTATTAGCTCCTGGGACACCAAACTTTGCTCCTGAGCGAGCAGAGCCAGTTATATTCTTGTTTTTCAAGACAATGGTTCCCACCTTATTCCACAAAAGCTGTTGGGTCTCTTGTTGAGTGCCCGGTTTTACCCTGGCTGAGAAGGATTGATGTTTCCCTTCATCTAACATTGGCACCATCTGAGAACTGCCCTGCATGTGTCTGCAGCCAGACTGGCACTGCATGAAAACTAACCCAGGTGTCCTCTGACATGCAGCCCATCTGATTCCTCCTTAATAAATCACTGTGGAAACGAGGTGTGAAGTCAAACTCAGCCCCTGTCTAGGTGGGTGGCCTGAGCAGAGCTCCCCTTGCTTGTAACAGCTCAGCCTTTCATGCCCTGCCTGTGTCATGAGGTGCTTAATCACAGAAAGGTAAATACAGCACAGAGCTGATGAATCCAGGCTGTGTTGATGTTGTTGCTGTGATCTCATTCTCCTTGCACAGGAGGTGAATGTGTGCAGTCTGGTGCTACATTGAGATAGAAAAGGCAGCAGGAAATCCCAACAGAATAAACCATTTGCTGCCATTTAATAAAATAAAATGGTTAAAATTGTAATTGGTATCTGTGTTGTTGCAGTCTGGGGGGGTAAAAGAAGGGATAATTACTCATTTTATTATTCTTTACCTCTCTCTGGGGCAGCCAGCATGGGGCACATGGAGATGTGGGGAAGTGCAGAAGCAGCTCCTTGGGATCCAGGTTTTTACACAACACAGTTTTGGGTGCTGTGCTGCCTGCTGCCAAGTGTCCCACACCTCAGAGGTGCAAGGGAGGAGGGAAATATAAATTTGAGTCCTCAAAGTCACATGGAAGCAGAGGAAAGATTAATACACGTTAATTAGGGAGTGGAAGGAAGGTAAATCTCTGGGGGTATTTCTGGTGAAAAGCAAGCAATGGGGTTCTGGTAAAAAGGAAAAGTTTTGCTGAAATGTTAATTAGCTGGGTCTTTAGGGACACCTTCTTCCCCTCTATGCTCTGCTCTCTGTTTTTAGAGCCTCTTCTGGGAAGTGGTATTTTGTTCATAATTAAAATCCTGCTGATGGTGTGCAAGTTACTCATTCCTCAGGTTATTCTCTCACACAGGCTGAGCTCCTTTTGTTTTCCCAGTCCCCACTGTGTGACTGCTTCCAACAGCATCAGTGGAGAAGGCTGGGAGGACAGTGTTGTGGGGGGAGAGAAGTCTCAGATTAAATGAAAGAGGCTTTATTTTTATTTTGGGAAATGTGTCTTGGTCTCCATCCCCTGGTATCTCAGCAGCTTTGGCTCTGGTTTGAAGCTGGACAGATACAACCCTGAATCTCATGGGTGATGTTGAGAAATGCTGCAGGTGCAACTCTTGGATGCAAAGGGAACTTCTGGTGGCTAAACAGGAGATGAGGAATGCTGTGAGTCTGAATTAGAAGCTGGGATTTGTTTGTGTGCTTGGGGCTTTGTAACACTGTCAACCCCACATCTTCTGAAAGCACCCCTTGGGATCCCAGAAATCATGAAGCTAACTTTAAAACCATGTTTTCTACAAAAAAGTATATTTTTTTCCTTGTTTTCTGCTATTTTAATACTTCAAAGTGCATGTGAAAACTTATCTTTTAAGCTTTTTCTTTTCCCTCAAGTATTTGATCAGTAGAGTGAAATGCCAAACAGGTCTAAGCAAACTGTTTAACCACAGAGCTGGTGTTTAAGGATCAGCTGGACTGACATTTCCTGGGAATAATGCATTTTAGCTGCTGTCCCTTGGGGCTGAGGGGTGGCAAGGTACTCAAATAAAAGCCCTTTAATACTATGTCTAAAATGAAGTCTGAAAAGGAGCTTTTTGTTAAATAAAACTGGGTGTTTCTTGTTTGCATGATTCCAGGAGCTGGTGCATTTGGGGATGTACTAACCATACTGATTTTGCTGGTGGATATAATTGTACAAATTAGCAATGCTTTTCTGAGATCTCACATTATGTGAAGGTAAGCTCTGCCTTGTGCCAGTCTGAGGCCTGTGCAAATCCAGGTCGGTGTTGGGCTGGGTGTGAGTGACTGTGTGGCCAACACTCATTACATAATGTCAGGCTGTTTTTCCTGTGCTCACCTTCTGCACGGGATATTACAAAAACTCCCTTATTTACACAGCAGGCTGAAAAAAAAGTTGGTGGATGTTGTCATAGCTCCAGTGAAAATAATTTTACCCCAAGGAGCCACTAATTTTTTATTTCTGGCCAAATAAGAGGCTTTGAGCAAAAGGAAAAAAAAGGCAGTTTTGTATGTGGTTATTGCACACATAGAATCAGATCAGATCCCAAAGGATTCCTTGCAAGGCTTTCTGTCTCCTCCCTCCTGCAGTCCTTGCAGGGAGGAAACCCAGAGCCCAGTGGAAAGTAGGAACAAATAAAATAATATTTTTCAAGCTCCTGGACTAGCTAGTGAGCAGCAGGAACTCTCACAGAACATATCCAAAGCAATCTTGGTCTGGGCAAGCTTGTCATGTTGCAGCTTGCATTCAGGTGAGAATTTCTCCAGGTCCAGGGCTGCACTTGCTCCTGGCATAACTCCACAGATGCCTGGAACAGGTTCTGGCTTGAAACTGTGAGAATTGGAGACTCAATCTGCAAATGTGATGTGTGTCTGTATTGTTTTGGCAAATTGTAGGAAAACAGCTTCCACCTAAGGCCTGGGTCAGGGATGTCCCTTCCTGGGGACTGCAGTCCCCAAATTTGTGAGAGGATTGATAATGCTGAGATTTCCAGAATTGTATTTAAACTTTAAAGGCAGCATTACTGCTGGGGGTTGACATGAGGCAGCAGAGCAATATAACACCAGAACATTTTTTAATGCTCTCTTGACTTGAATCTGCAGTAGAAGATTCATTGCATGTGGCTCCTAAGGCAGCAGAAGGTTTAAAATTGGCCAAGAAAAGGTAATTTCCCACTTACACCTTTTCTTGACCAATGTAAGATAGGAGAACATTGAGTTGGGGTAATTCTCCTGTTTGCCCTGGGCTTGTGTGTCTGTGTGGAGTTGTAGATGGGTGTGCAGCTCAGAAAAACAAAAGGAAGTTTGTGGAATAAATGGTGGATTTTTGATTTTTTTTTCCTTTATGTTGATTCACGATGCTGGCAGGCAGTTTTGGGCATGTTATTCCAGGTATGAGGGGGCTGTGTTACAGAATAGCTGAACTCACCTGAGCTTCTGTGCCTCCTGCTTTTTGCTTGGTCTGAATTTTGTCTCCCTCTGCCATTGAGAGTCTGAAGCCAGTTGTTCAGCCTGCACTTCTATTTTCTCTTTTTTTTTTTCTTTTTTTCTGGGCTCTGGCAGCTAATGTTAGCAAGACAGTATTGATCTCTTCAGAAGAACACATTAATTTTGCATTTGCCTATCAGACAGCTGTGCGTGGGTGGTGATAATCCCTGGTAGTCTTTGGACTCACTTTCCAAATGTCAGTCTGTGCCATCAGTGCTGCTGCACTGCTTAGAAACAGCTTTTTTAGAGCTTTTTCTGCACCAGTTCTAGGAATAGTGCTGTGCAGCCTCAGTGGGGTCAGACTGAGATGATTTCCCCAGCTGTGGTGGGAGACCTTCCCTGTCTGTCAAGAATTTTGTTCCTGCAGCCTCTCTAGTCAGAGTTGCTGCTGCTCTGCTTGGAATGCCTCTGAGTGTTCCCTGCTGGAAGGGAAAAGGACCTGAAGGGTGCAGGGGGCAGCTGTGGTGCTACTGCTGGGCTTTGGGGCTCAGCTGCACTCATGGAAAAACAAGTAGCTTTTGGTTCTGAGGACATTTGAGCTGTTCCTTAAGGCTCTCTGGGAGTGGTACACTGCTGGCTTTGATGGGTTGAGAGCTTGCAATAGGCTTGTGGCCTTTAGGGAGTTACTTTGGTGAAATTTCTGGGTCTGGTGAGCTCTGGTGCTGCCAGTAGGGCAAGGGGAAGTAACCCAGCCTTTGTGTGCTTTGGAGATCCTCCTCTGGCTCTGCAGCTCCTGGGAACTGGGGGAACCCTAGATCTCAGACCTGGATCCCCTTTGAGGGTGATCATTGCTGC